TCACGGAGTCAAATGCAATGTATGTGGTTTACACGGAGACCCGCATAAAGGATCGCTTGGACAACGAAATATGGATCCCAGGTTACAACCTATACAGATGTGACAGAGTGAACATGTAAAACAGGGAGCGGGGTGGACTGTATATCACAGTCACTTGAATGCTCAGAACTACTAAATGCCTCAGATGATGTAGTCAAAGTTTTAGCAGTAAAGATCGAGAACCAAAACCTGGTCATTGAGGTTGTATACAAGCCTCCGGATGCAATGTCCCAACAATTCCAGGAACACCTTTTGAAAATTGACCAATGTCTGGAAAATCTTCCAGCTCCTGCCCCCAACACCTTCCTCCTGGGGGATTTCAACCTAAGGCACCTAAAATTGAGGAATATAGCAATTAATGTTGTAGCAGAGATAACACCAGGATGCAGCTCAGATAAAAACTCGCACACATGCGAGCTTTTAAATCTCTGCACCAAATTCACCTTAAACCAGCAAATAATAGCGCCTACGAGATTGGAGAATCCACTGGACCTGATCTGATACGAAATGACATCATATCAAGAACAATATACTCAGATCACAACATAATACAGGTCTAGACATGTATGTGCGGGGCCCCAGACCGACAAAATATGATCAGTAACGAGGAAACCTTCACCAAATTCAACTTCAATAACAAAAACATAAGGTGGAACCAAGTAAACTAAGTCATAAATGATATAAACTGAGAAGACAGACTAAGCAACACGGATCCTACCCTATGTCTAGAACAAATTAACTCTGGCACTTGAGGTATGCTCAAGGCATATTCCCTTAAAGAAAAGGAGGAGAAGATGTAAACTAGAAAGAGAAAGGTGTTCCCTATACAAGCGAAGGCAAAGAATAACAGAGCAGGTACAAGAGGCCACTATATCTGCAATACATAGGGAGACACTGGTCAGAGAAATAGTAAACATCGAACTAAAGCTAAAGGAATTGTACAGGAATCAAGAAATGCGAGAAGAACTGAAAGCCATAAATGTAATTGAAAGAAACCCAAAGTATTTCTTTACTTATGCCAAATCAAAGTCTGGAACAACATCCAGTATTGGGCCCCTGCTTAAATGGGATGGGTTCTACACAGATGACAGCAAGGAAATGAGTGTGCTACTCAAGTCCCAATATGGCTCAGTTTCTAGCAAGCCACTAACCAGACTGAGAGTAAGACCTAAATGATTTTTTTATGAGAGAGAATTTGGTAGGCACACACCTATCTGATATTATCTTGACACCAAATGACTTCGAAAAGGCGTTAACTGACATGCCCATGCACTCTGCCCCAGGCCAAGACTCGTGGAACTCCGTGTTCATCAATAACTGCACGAAACCTCTATCATGTGTTTTTAACATCCTGTGGAGAGGGAGCATGGACACTAAGGTAGTCCCAAAGTTACTAAAAACAACTGACATAGCCCCACTCCACAAAGGGAGCAGTAAAGCAATAGCAAAGAACTACAGACCAACAACGCTAAAGTCCCATATCATAAAAAATCTTTGAAAGGGTTCTAAGAATCAAGATCACCTCCCATCTAGATACCCATCAGTTACACAACCCAGGGCAGCATGGATTTAGAGCAGGTCGCTCCTGTCTGTCCTAACTACTGGACCACTATGACAAGGTCCTGGATGCTCTAGAAGACAAACAGAATGCAGATGTAATAAATACAGACTTTGCAAAAGCCTTTGACAGGTGTGACCATGGTGTAATAGGAAAGGTCGGTAGATGGATCTATAATTTCCTAACAAATAGAACACAGAGTAATAGTCAACAGAGTAAAGTCTGAGGCAGCTGCGGTGAAAAGCTTTGTTCCACAAGGCACAATACTCGCTCCCATCTTGTTCCTCATCCTCATATCGGACATAGACAATGATATAAGCCACACTGCAAGGCTCCAGGCGGACATCAACCAAATCTTTCAGTGGGCTGCAGAAAACAATATGAAGTTCAACGATGAGAAATTTCAATTACTCAGATATGGTAAACATGAGGAAATTAAATCTTCATCAGAGTACAAAACAAATTCTGGCCACAAAATAGAGCGAAACACCAACGTCAAAGACCTGGGAGTGATTATGTCGGAGGATCTCACCTTCAAGGACCGTAACATTGTATCAATCGCATCTGCTAGAAAAATGACAGGATGGATAATGAGAACCTTCAAAACTAGGGACGCCAAGCCCATGATGACACTCTTCAGGTCACTTGTTCTATCTAGGCTGGAATATTGCTGCACTCTAACAGCACCTTTCAAGGCAGGTGAAATTGCCGACCTAGAAAATGTACAGAGAACTTTCACGGCGCGCATAACGGAGATAAAACACCTCAATTACTGGGAGCGCTTGAGGTTTCTAAACCTGTATTCCTGGAACGCAGGAGGGAGAGATACATGATTATATACACCTGGAAAATCCTAGAGGGACTAGTACCGAACTTGCACACGAAAATCACTCACTACGAAAGCAAAGACTTGGCAGACGATGCACCATCCCCCCAATGAAAAGCAGGGGTGTCACTAGCACGTTAAGAGACCATACAATAAGTGTCAGGGGCCCGAGACTGTTCAACTGCCTCCCAGCACACATAAGGGGGATTACCAACAGACCCCTGGCAGTCTTCAAGCTGGCACTGGACAAGCACCTAAAGTCAGTTCCTGATCAGCCGGGCTGTGGCTCGTACGTTGGTTTGCGTGCAGCCAGCAGCAACAGCCTGGTTGATCAGGGGCTGATCCACCAGGAGGCCTGGTCACAGACCGGGCCGCGGGGGCGTTGACCCCCGAAACTCTCTCCAGGTAAACTCCAGGTAAACAGCACCGTGTCTTCATTTGCAAATGACACCCGAATTTGCATGACAGTGTCTTCCATTGAAGACACTGCAAGACTCCAGGCGGACAGCAGCCAAATCTTTAAATTGCCACACAATAGAGTGAACAACTAATGTCAAAGACCTGGGAGTGATCATGTCAGAGGATCTCACCTTCAAGGACCATAGCACTGTATCAATGACATCTGTTAGAAAAATGACAGAATGGATAATGAGAATCTTTAAAACCAGGGATGCCAAGCCCATGATGACACTCTTCAGGTCGCATTTTCTATCTAGGCTGGAATATTGCTGAACACTAACAGCACCTTTCAAGGCAGATGAAATTGCTGACCTAGAAAATTTACAGAGGACCTTCACGGCACGCATAACTGCTATAAACCACCTCAATTACAGGGAACACTTGAAGTTCCTAAACCTGTACTCCCTAGAACGCAGGAGGGATTATATACACCTGGAAAATCCTAGAGGGATTAGTACCAAAGTTGCACACGAAAATCACTCCCTACGAAAGCAAAAGACTCAACAGACGGTGAAACATCTCCCAATGAAAAGCAGGGGTGCCACTAGCACGATAAGTGTCAGGGGCCCAAAATTGTTCAACTCCCTCACAGCATACATCAGGGGGGATTACCAATAGACCCCTGACTGTCTTCAAGCAGGCACTGGACAGCCACCTAAAGCCAGTACCTGACCAGCTGGGCTGTGGTTCGTACGTTGGATTACGTGCGGCCAGAAGTAACAGCCTGGTTGATCAGGCCCTGATGCACCAAGAGGCCTGGTCACAGACCGGGCCGCGGGGGCGTTGACCCCCGGAACTTTCTCCAGGTATCTACCAATATTGGCAATACAATATTTACTTAGCTCAAACAGAAAACAGTTTTGTTTTAATAAACTACCTTAACTCTGAAAATTTGAAGATATTCTCCAGTTGCTCTGAATCTAACAAATACATTTTGTTTTTTAAACAATTTCATAAAAATCTCATATCTGAACCCAAACAATCTAAACTTGGTGGATGTCGCCCTTCTTATCGAATACATCGGTGTTAATTGTTTTTAAAGTCAGTATGACGAGGCATTCCTTTGAGAGTGAAAATAAATATAACTATTTATGGAAAAAAAATAATTAATTGGAGCTTCAGCAGATCCGAAGCAGCAAAACTCTTGTTTTCTGGAATATACTGTTATTGCATTCTCTCCAAAGATTCCAGAGTCTGCCGCACACAAACCAGACTTAATGGTACTATTCTGCTTATATGATGCATCAGCCATTAAATACAGAAGACATCCCAGAAGGAATTGAGGAAGCTATGAAGGCCATTCAAGGATACTAGGAATTGGTTCAAAAATTTTGGTTATGTAGATGAATGGCTCAAAGAACCGACAAGTTAATATATTAGACACATGTGCAACACTTGCGTATCTTTAATGAGGAAACGTTTCGCCACACCGACGACTGCTGCACCTCTCCTGCCTACAGTATATAAAGCTACTTCTTCGCACACATGCTGCATTCTTTTCAAGACTGATGGACTGACCACATCGACTCAAGGCTGAGGGACTGATTACCTCAAACTCCTCCTGTTCTTCATCGTTCTCCTTTGTATGGACTAATGAAGCCACTGTGTGGCGGAACATATCCTAATTAAAGATACCCAAATGTTGCACATGTGTCTAATTTATCAATTTTGGTCATAGTGCACCTGCACATTACAACATCTCGATTTTTTCCCTGGTTACCATACACAGTATCGAAGATTTTAAGCTAATCATATGAGACCTCGTATCACAAGCAAAACAAAAGTAGGAGAAAAAATCAGTTCAAGTAACCACTTTTAAGGTGTTCCTTCAGGGACACCTGAAGACTTGGATGCGGAAGAGAACCATTCTTGGCAACATATATGTGGAAACTAAACAAAATAAGCTAAATAGCATAAGCAAAAATGTTATGTAAGAATAACGAAGAGGTGGAATATTCACGGCAGGTGGAAGTTCATACAATACATTGATTCAAAAGTACTTTCAAAGGAAGTATGACAGTCTACTAAAGGTTAAAAAAACATACTCATGAGCTGCTATTCAACATTTATGCATTTCAATCATTGCCATATCTCCCAATGAAACATCTATACACTCGCCTGTATGGATGAAGAAGATTCGACCTTCATTGACATCGGCCTGGGTGAAGGAGGACACTGGTTGGGTAAGATTAGATGAAAGCGCCAGGAACCCGGAGTCAGGGGTGGCCACTCTTATGGTCAAGTTCTCTGGGGATGTGTCAGGGTCTACTACGGCTGTGGGAATAGACAATGTTCTGTCATTAAGTTTAGCATGTAAAGAATGACTCATTCTCTACTATTGATAATATATAATTTACTCTGCCATTTCCAGATTTCTTCCGAAGATTTACTACATATTCCTGAGCTCCTTCACTAAACTGTTTCTTACAAGAACATAAAGAGAATCTTAGTTAAATGAAGTTCAGCATTACAAATCTAGAAATTTCTTTGTCGAATTCATGAATACAATTTAGACCAAAATGCAACATAAAAAACACAAATAAGAATGATGTGATTATAAAAGAAATTGGTTATGCACTTTAAGTTGTTCATAAAAATGTATTACGCTTTGTACAACTATAACAAATGTATTCTTGGGTTTATCTGGCAATTTTGTTATAAAATTACATCTGCATTCTGATTTTCTTCCAGTGCATCCAAGGCCATGTCATAGTGATCCAGTAGTTGTGAGAGGCAGGAGCGACCTGCCCTGAACCCATGTTGCCCTGGTTTGTGCAGATTTTGGGAATCCAGGTGATTTGCAATTCTGCTTCTTTGCACTCTTTCAAAGATTTTTATGATGTGGGATGTCAGAGCTATTGGTCTATAGTTCTTAGCTAATGCTTTGCTGCCACCTTCATGGAGTGGGGCTATATCCGTTGTTTTAAGTGACTGGAATTTCACCCATGTCCAACCTCCTCCTCCATAGTGTACTTAGGGCACGCGAGAGGGGTTTCTTGCAGTTCTTAATGAAAACAGAGTTCCACGAGTCTGGGCCCGGGGCTGAGTGCATAGGCATGTTGTCAATGGCTTTTTCGAAATCTATCGGAGTTAGGGTAATGTCGGAAATCTGGCATACATTTATGGAGTTTTGAGGCTCATTCATGAAGAAATCATTTGGGTCATCGATCCTCAGACTGATTAGTGGTTCGCTAAACACAGAGTCGTACTGGGATTTCAATATTTCACTCATTTCCTTGTTGTCATCTGTGTAAATCCCATTTGTCTGAGTAAGGGCCCGATACTAGATGTGGTATTTGCCTTGTTTTTGGCATATGAAAAGAAATATTTTGAATTTCTTTCAATTTCACTAATAGCTTTAAGCTCCTCCTGTCTCTCCTGGTTCCTGTAAGAGTCATTTAACTTAAGTTCGATAGTTTCCACTTCCCTGGTTAGCGCCTCCTTTCGTGTATCAGATATTCTAGCACTCCTGAGGAGCTCAGTGACTCTTCGTCGTCTTCTGTAGAGGGAGCGTCTTTCTCTCTCCAGTTTACTCCTGCTCTTCTTCTTTCTTAGGGGAATATGCCTAGAACATGCTTCAGCTGCCAGGAAGTTGATCCTTTCAAGGCACTGGTTTGGATCCATGTCATTTAAGATATCTTCCCAACATGTTTCATTTAGGACATGGTTTACCTGGTCCCAGTTGATGTTCTTGTTGTTTAAGTTGTATTTTGTGAAGACACCTTCACAGGTACATGCATTCTGCAGATCAGGACCCCTATGCATGTACGTCTGGACTTTGATTAGGTTGTGATCGGAATTAGTTGTTTTTGATATTCTTATGTCTCTTATCAGGTCCTCATTATTTGTGAAAATAAGGTCAAGTGTGTTTTCTAGTCTTGTTGGCTTCACTATCTGCTGGCTTAAGGTGTTTTTCTCGCAGAGACTTAGTAGCTCATGTGCGTGTGACCTTTCATCTGCGCTACCTCTGGGGATACTTTCAGCTATAACATTATTTGCTACATTCTTCCATTTTGTATGCCTTAGGTTGAAATCACCAAGCAGCAAGATGTTTAGGGATGGAGCTGGAAGGTTTTCCAGACAGTAATCAATTTTCAGTAGCTGTTCCTTGAACTGTTGTGAGGTTGCATCTGGTGGCTTACATACAACCACAATGACTAGGTTTTGGTTCTCGATCTTTATTGATAGAACTTCAACTACCTCATTTGTGGTGTTCAGCAACTCCATGCAGATAAGGGACTCTTTGACATACAGGCCAACCCCCCCCCCCCTTGTTGCCTGTTCATTCTGTCGCATCTAAAGAGGTTGTAACCACTTATCCATATTTCACTGTCAATGTGATCTTTTGTGTGAGTCTCTGTGAAGGCTGAAAACACTGCATTAGACTTCTCTAGAAGTCCACAGATAAAAGGTATTTTGTTGTTTGTGGATGGCTTAAGGCCCTGTATATTAGCAAATATGAACGAGGTTGTATTCTGTATTTGTTGGGGGGATTTTGTTATTGGCATCAGTAGTTGTCGTTCTGGAGGGCCATGGGTGGTCACTGGCTGCACCTCCAGTCCAGCAAGGCTCCAAGGTGGTGGACTATTTTTGTTATTTCCTTCCATTTTCTTTTTCCGTTTCCTGCCACTAAAAAATCACCTGGAGTTGGGTTGTCATAGATACTATTGTTTGTCTTGTGGGGTCTGTGCCTCCTGGTCCCTTTTAGATGGTATGCAGGGCAGTTGATGTTGTAACACTGCTTCTGGAGGACCGAGGAGTGACACATTTTTGGGTGAAAGAAAGTACAGGAAGAAGAACGACACACTCTTTTAGACAGGAGGTCACTACATTTTTTGGGATGCTCAAAGCTGCATGTCCCATTTTTTTCCTGATATTCCATGCTTACAGATGCCCCAAGCATAATATTTGCACAAATTCACCTTTGGTTGAGAATTGTTGGGAGTTGTGTTGTCAATTTCTGCAGGTTCTGGGACTGCACTATAATCCTCAGTATCCAAGCCAGGGCCACCCCGTCCTGGATTCCATCTACTTTCCTCAGTAGAGGAAGAAGGAGGAGAGACTCCTACATCTGTACTGTGGGCCACGGTCTTGTGCAATGATGGTTGTATATTTACGGTTTTAGTAGCGGTTGTGGTAGGGTCCCTAGTAGAGTCTGGGCTGGCAATAAGGCTGGGGGCTGAGACTGAGTCAGCACTGAGGTTGTGGGCTGAGCTTGGGCCAGCACCAGCACTGTGGGTATTAGTGCTATGACTGGGGGATGGGTCTGGTTTAGCACTATGTGGGTGATTAGATAGTTTCGAGTCATCTGTTTTGGTATGGGCATTCTGCATTTTTTGATACACTATCTCTTGCTCCCATGTTTTATATATTTTTGGTAGACTATTAAAGAGGTCATCTTTGTTTTCTTGATTATTTTTATCATTTATTACTCTCCTTAGTACCTTTCTGATACCTGCCCAAAGTTCTACATTTTTATTGCACAACCAGAAGCATCTTGCTAGTTCGAGGTCATTTTTTGAGGCAGTATTTAGTCTAGTACAAGAGATATGGTGTTTGAAAGAGCATAGGTTGCATGTGATTCTGGATTTCCTTCCAAAGATTTTTTTTACATGTCCCACAGATATGCTGGGCTGACATCCTGTCTGTATCCTACTACACTCTGCATGCCATGGAAGAAAACTGATTTCCACTTTACCTTTCTCTTGCTGGTGCCAGTAATGTGCTGGAAGTCCAAGCCCCTCTCCCACAAAATCTCCTTTGCCCCCTCCCTCCAACCTTTTTGAGGACGACCCCTACCCAGCCTTCCTTCCCCTACAGATTTGTACACTCTCCTACTTTTATCCATTCTCTCTAAATGGCCAAATCACCTCAACAACCACTCTTCAGCCCTCTGACTAATACTTTTATTAGCTCCACACCTTCTCATAATTTTCAAACTCCGAATTCTCTGCATAATATTTACACCACATATTGCCCTTAGGACATCTCCACCACCTCCAACCGCCTCCTCACTGCAGCATTTACAACCCAAGCTTCACACCCATATAAGAGTGTTGGTACCACTATACTTTCATACATTCCATTCTTTGCCTCTATAGATAATGTTTTTTATTTCCACATATAACTCAATGCACCACTCACCTTTTTTCCTTCATCAATTCTATGGTTAACCTCATCCTTCATACATCCATCCGCTGACACGTCTACTCCTAAATATCTGAAAACATTCACTTCTTCCATACTCCTCCTCCTCCAATTTGATATCCAATTTTTCTTTATCTAAATCATTTGATACCCTCATCACATTACTCTTTTCTATGTTCACTTTCAACTTTCCACCTTTACACACTCTCCCAAACTTGTCCACTAACCTTTGCAACTTTTCTTTAGAATCTCCCTTAAGCACAGTATCATCAGCAAAAAGTAACTGTGACAGTTCCCATTTTATATTTGATTCCCCATAATTTAATCCCACCCCTCTCCCCAACACCCTAACATTTACTTCTTTTACAACCCAATCCATAAATATATTAAAACATTCATGGTGACATTACACATCCCTGTCTAAGACCTACTTTTACCGGGAAGTAGTCTCCCTCTCTTCTACACACCCTAACCTGAGCCTCACTATCCTCATAAAAACTCTTCACAGCATTTAATAACTTACTACCTATTCCATATACTTGCAACATCTGCCACATTGCTTCCCTATCCATTCTATCATATGCCTTTTCTAAATCAATAAATGCAATGAAAACTTCCCTACCTTTATGTAAATACTGTTCACATATATGCTTGATCTACACGTCCCCTACCCACTCTAAAGCCTCCTTGCTCATCCGCAATCCTACATTCTGCCTTACCTCTAATTCTTTCAATAATAACCCTACCACACACTTTTCCTGGCATACTCGGTAAACTTATTCCTCTATAATTTTTACAATCTCTTTTGTCCCCCTTCCCTTATATATAGGAATTATACATGATCTCTGCCAATCCCTAGGTACCTTCCCCTCTTTAATACAGTTATTAAACAAAAATGTCACCCACTCCAACACTATATCCCCCCTCCCTGCTTTTAACATTTCTCTCATGATCCCGTCAGTTCCAGCTGCTTTACCCCCTTTCATTCTACATAATGCCTCACGCACCTCCCCCACACTCACATCCTGCTCTCCTTCACTCCTAAAAGATTGTATACCTCCCTGGCCAGCGCATGAAATTACCGCCTCCCTTTCTTCGTCGACATTTAAAAACTCCTCAAAATATTGTCATCTACCCAAAACCTCCATCTCCCCATCTACTAACTCCCCTACTCTGTTTTTAACTGACAAATCTATTCGTTCCCTAGGCTTTCTTAACTTGTTTATCTCACTCCATAATTTTTTCTTATTTTCATCAAAATTTCTTGACAGTGTCTCTCCCACTCTATCATCTGCTCACCTTTTACACTCGCCACTCTCTTCACCTTTCTTTTATTCTCCATATACTCTGCTCTTCTTATAACACTTCTACTTTGTAAAAAACCTCTCCTAAGTGTGTGTGTGTGTGTGTGTATTCACCTATTTGTGGTTGCAGTGGTCGATTTACTTCTCTTTGTCCCACCTCTTCACTTATCGTTACTAGGTTCTCTCTCTCCTTGCTCCATGAGCTTTATCAAAACTTCGTCTTAAAACTATGTATGGTTCCTTCGTTCACTACGTCACTATCCAGACTATTCCACTTTCTGACAACTCTATGACTGAAGAAATACTTCCTATCATCCCTTTGATTCATCTGAATCTTAAACTTCCAGTTGTGGTCCCTTGTGTCCCCTCTCTGCAACATCCTGTCTCTGTCCAACTAGTCAATTCCTCGCAGAATTTTATGTCGTTATCATTTCCTCCCTAACCCTCCTTGTCCTGAAGTGTCGTGAGGCCGATTTCCCTTAACCTGTCTTAGTAGGACATTTTCCGTAGCTCTGGTACTAGTCTTGTTGCAAACCTTTGTACTTTCTCTAATTTCTTGAAGTGCTTGACCAAGTGTGGGTTCCAAACTGGTGTTGCTTAATCCAGTATGGGTCTGACGTACACGATGCATAGTCTTAAACGATTCCTTACTAGTCTTAGGTTTGCAAGGCGCCCATATGCTGCAGCAATTATCATGTTAATGTGCACCTCAGGAGATGTGCTCGGTATTATACCCACCCCAAGATCCTTTTCCTTGAGTGGGGTTTGCAGTCTTTGGTTACCTAGCCTATAGTCTATCAGCGGCCTTCCTTGCCTTCCCCGATCCTCATGACATTACACGTGTTTGTGTTAGTGTGTGTGTGTGTGTGTGTGTGTGTGTGTGTGTGTGTGTGTGTAAGTTAATTTTAAGCTAATGTGAATCAACCCCAAGTGTCAGTTGACGATTGTTGTTGGCTTACCTAAGTTGGAGGAGGAGATGAGAGCTGAGTTGCCCTCCCAGATGGTGAGTCCCGTGTTGTTGATTACGAAGGGCGCCTCGTCGTTGATGCCTCTTACTGAGACAGTAACTACTGCTGGTGCGCTCTGTCGCACTCCAGACACTGCCACTAGACTGAAGGTGTCGTACAGGCGCTCTGACCCGTCGTGTACATACTGAGGAAGAAACCAAGAGTGCATCTTAGCTCACATAGTGGCAGAAATAATGCTTCGTTTGGATCTTATGATTCTTATGGCCTGATACCTACCTTACATAGGCATGTATAAATAAAACAACAACTGAAAAATGTATTATGAAACTGCTAGGATAACACTTGTTGTCACAGAGATTGAAGAGAAGTTGTTGATGTGTGTGGAATAATACAAGCATAACGAAGACACTCGTGGCATAACGTTCCCCAATAAATGTCTTTAGCTGTGCATGTATCTTTGTAATACATATTTTGATGAAATTAGGGGGGTATAATTATATTAAAAGCACGCAATACCAACAAATATTATCATTAAAATCATAACTAAGATCTAAACCCATTAATTAGGGTTATACAATGCTGCAGAGTAGGGTGTAATATTCTTGATCAGAGACCAGCGAGGATGAAGAGCATGCCAGAGGTAGCATTAGTAAGGCTGGTGAGCAGTACTAAAAGGAAATAAAATCGAAGTCGGTGTAATGATGTTGCTGACTAAGTCAACGGAGGGGCTGTCAGTGAGGAGGTCAGATAAAGTAAAGGCGTTAGAGAAGTGACAATACTGGAGGTAAATTCTGTATGCCTGCTGGTACACAGGATGGTTTTTTAGGATATAGCAACCTAAAAATGGAATCCAACAATTCTCACAGTGGTGCTGGGTACTTTTTCATGAGATACCCATGAGTGAGATGTGTCAGATATGAAGACGACAGAGGGTAGTCTCCCAAACATAAGATCAATGATAAGAAGAACAGAAGCCTTAACAAGTTTGATTGAATATAACTTATTATGAATCATCTCAGACCATCGTTGGTGCCATTAGTTGGGAAGGTGTCTAGAGATTACAGCAAAGTGGCCTGAAACTGGAATACCCCTGTATGAGACATGGAGGTCAAAAACAACTGACCACACAGCAGAGTCTGCCTGCTGGTTGCCCTGAACATCTACATGTCCAGGAATCCAGCAGAATGCGATGTCTGCTTTAACTAGAAATGCAGCACAACCAAAGAACTAGCAGATGAGGAGAATAAAATTTTTTGATAGTCTGCAAAATGCTAAAGTGATCTGAAACTATAATGAATATTGAGGTTGGCAGTGATGCAATAGGTGTAACAGCAATGACAACTGCATATGGATCAGCTGTATAAATGCTATCTGAGTCTAGCAAATGAGCTTGTACAACACACACTGGAAACACTGCAGCAAACCCAACACAGTCAGAGGATTTAGAACCATCATTGTAAATTGCAACGGCTTGAGATTGAGATCGGAAATGATAAAAGAGCGAGAAGTTACTGTAGATACTAAAGCTTTCCTGCCTGGAAATGGGGAAGGATAGACAAAAATCACTGGAACTTCTCAAGGGTAACTGCACTCTGAAGGAGAAATAGAGATATATCGCAGTTTTTGTGCACGTAATATCGGCACACCTCTGCCAAGACAGTGATGGGTCATCTTGCCTCAGTGGGAAACGACCACTGAGGTTATGATCTGCAAATAGACAAGTAACAGTAACATTAAGCAGAAGTTGTCTACGAACGATTATAGTCATTAAAGTCTCCATGTGGAGGTAGTGAGATATTAGTTTTGTAAAATGTATAGTAAGGAGAGAATGTGAGGTGTTGCGGTTGAATCAATGTCCATAACTGGTCCATAACGCGAAAAACTCAGAGATCGCTGCATTTGTTTCAGTTGACAGAAAAGTTGCAAGAGGCATGATGTCAGAGGGAGAAGATGTAAGCTGAGTAAAAACTGGAAAGACAATAGAATGTCCCAAAGAAGGGGTAAAGGTATCTTGGTGGGAAGTGATAGGAGAGTGAGCAACTGTGCGTGGGGGTAGATGAACTTCCACAATAGTAACAGAAGCACCACAAGGTAAAGGATTACATTTAGAGACAGTTAAAGTAAAATATTGAAGAATGACATGTGATTCGGGGGCTGAAGGAAATTTGAACCTAGATAAAGTTTTAGACTCTGGAGAATGGATACGTGGTGGCGATTTCGATAAAGTACGTACTACTGAGGTTTGGGGCAGTCTGGCGGCTCTCGAATAAAACAGTTGTGGGAGTCTCCCTTGAAGGCAGAGATTGGAAACTACCATGGCATCAGAGAAACCCCTTTTCTCTTTAAGATGGCGTATCTTCTTTTCCTTTAAGATGGCGTATCCTCTTTTCCCTTAAGAAAATCAGGCAATGACAAGAATAAGCACAGTGTGCTTCTTTACAGTTAAGGAAAGTAGGAGGGTGGTTGCAGGATGGACTACTATGGTCAGCTGCGCCACACACACAGCATTCTGCCTCTGTCCTACAATATATTGCTGTGTGGCCAAAGCACAAGCAATTTTTACAGTGTTGTGGTGAAGGAATCAACTCTCATACAAGTAAGCTCTGTTCCGGTATATAAAACGAAAATGGCAGTTCACGACCGTCAAAAGTTAACTTTGCTGTATTATAAGGACAGTGACTTTGCTCACTGTCAGGTAGTACGTAAGTGTCTAAGTGTAGACTTTAACTATCAAGAGATCCTGGAGCTCGAGTTGCCCCATAATGTCCTGATTACATATGAGAAAGTTTTGTTCAGTGATTGTATGTAGAGAAATAATAGGTCTGCAGCAAGAATTGAGGAAAATGTGTTTGCGAATTGTAACTGGGGTGTTCTCAGTGGTGCTAAGAAAGGAAAGATTATAAGCTTGCTCCACAATTTGCAGTGTGGCAATGCATTTACCATTCTTAAGAAAATGAAAGGAAGTGATTTGCCCAAAATGGCGAAGGAGTATCTTGCTAACATTATGGCCTGAAAGATAGTTTGTGGGAGATGTCGATTTGAGAGTAAAGAATTTAGTCCAAGAAGGACTTTGAAAAACAGTGTAGGGTAAAAAAATGTTTAATCTGTCATTTCAAAGAAGAATGAAAGGTAACTGAGTTTGTCATATTTGGCGGGTTGGAACGGTTTGGCTGGGGGACCAGAGGTGAGCCGTCCTAAGATGTGTGGATAATCTGGAAATCAACACATTGTAAATGGAGAAGTTGGAATCATAGTCTAGTTCATGTGGAGGTTAGATATATCAAAAGGGTCAGTCAGAACCCCGGTAACAGATGTGGGTACTGAGCTGTTACCTGAAGAAGGTACTATGTTTTTTGGTAAGTCCAAAGAATGGGCCAGTGATAGGTCAGGGTCTTGAAAGGATGATGCAAGGAAAGGAAGAGGTCTGGGAGGAGGGATTCCGTGGACATGAGATTCCATGATAATGTTTTTCTTTTTGAAAAAAAAAAAAAAGGCTGTGTAGAGAGATAGCTCCCAGGAGAAATGAAAAGGACTGTATATCCCCATCAGCACTACTTGGCATATTGAGGACCCTAGGTGTGGCCAGTAGTGCAGATGCTACATGGAACCTGTGTCCTACCCCACCCTGCTGTAAACTAGCAATCCAGGATACCAATCTCATATTCACTGAGCCACCTCGGCAAACAAAGGAGAGGGTGGTCGGAAGCCCACCGCAAGGCATACCTCCGTCGGCTGCCAGCTCTCACCTCCCACCTCCTAAAACCAACAGGCAGCCTCCAGAGAGGAAAGTAAAGTCCCACTTCCAGGAATTGAGTCCTGGAAGTGGAAGGTTTAGTGCCTGCACTCTAAAGGAAGAGAGGGGATGTTACAGTTCAGAGAATCACCTGAACGGTATTGTCAACATAACTCTGATAAGACAGCTATTGAATGACTGATGATAAGTTTGCAAGGAGAGAGCCGATGTGTTAAAAAAAAAAGTTCTACAGCAGTAATAATTAAATATGAACTGACTACAAATTTATTAATATCACAATTTTCTTATGTTAAAAACATTACTGAATTGTTTGTAATATGAATCGTCAGACAAGTTCTTCTCGTCACGAGCAACAATATGCAACTAAAACAATGAATACACACTCATCTCTGGCTTAATACATATTTTGAATAAAAACTGAACAAAAAATTACTCATACAGCCAATGCTCGAAATTATATAATGCAAGCATGACTAGTTTTTAATATTTCATAATTTGCAAAGGGAAAAAATTACATGCCTTGTTAATGTATGAGCGAGGAATTCACACACCATTTAACCTCTTTCCAATATACACCCTCTTAAAATATTGCATTATGTTTAGCGACTCCAGCAGAGTATATTTTTAAAAGTAAAACCTGACACGGCCTGGAAGTGGGAAGTACAGTTCCTACACTGTGAAGGAGGTTAGTGATGCTGCAGATCCTATACTCTGAAGGAGGTTAGTGATGCTGCTGATCCTACACTGTGAAGGAAGGATAGTGATGCTGCAGATCCTACACTGTGAAGGAAGGTTAGTGATGCTGCAGATCCTACACTGTGAAGGAAGGTTAGTGATGCTGCAGATCCTACACTGTGAAGGAAGGTTAGTGATGCTGCAGATCCTTCACTGTGAAAGATGGCTTTGTGATGCTGCAGATCAGCTGGACATTTAAATGAATGAAGATGAATACTCTGAGGAATACCTCTTAGTATCATACATAATTAAGTGGTTTTCAGAGATGTCACTTGTTAAGTGGTCACTTACATGGAATTTACTAAGTCGAGTACCCACCTGCCTGGAGGTTGCTCGGGGGGTCAACGCCCCCGCTGCCTGGTCTTTACAGTGGGTCAAGGCTTGGTTAACCAGGTTGTTACTGCTTTCTCACCTGCACTCCAAAGAATACAGGCCAAAGGGCTTCAAATGTTCCAAGTAATTGAAGTGCTTTTCTGAGCTTACACATGCAGTGAAGGTTTTCTGTAAATTCTCCAGTTCTACAGTTATGCCCGCCTTGAAGGGGGCTGGTAGTATACAGCAGTATTCCAGCCTATATAGAACAAGTCATTTAAAGAGAATCATCATTGGCTTGTTTTGAGGGTTTTCTTTATCCATTCTTTAACTCTCCTTGCAGCTATAATAATTACACTGGTTCGTCAACATGACTCACGAAA